GAGCTCCTCCTGAACGGCGTCAGATTGTTGTGAAACCCTCAGCGGTAACACCTTCAGGCCTGCTGTAGTAACTGGAGCTAACTGCACAGTATCTAACCTGTCTGTCTCTACCTAGATTCCTCTCCTGTCCCCGATCCCTGACTCTCCCCGCTGGATAAGGACCTCCTGGCTTCGACCCCCGTCTGTCTGACCCTGAGACTGCCTGATCCCGATTTGGATTCCCGGTTCTGACCCTGGCCTGTCTGACCAAGAATAAGCAATTTCCCAATAAACGTCTGGTTTGGTATTCACTGTTCAGTCCCTGTGTCCATCCGTGCCTGGGCGTGACAGGTGTACTTAAAGACGTGATATTATAAAATATTTTCAAGGTTTGCTCTACATGCCCCTTTACGACTTTGAGCATCTGCCCCTCCAAAGGTCGCTGCGCGACCCTCGTTGCTAGGCAATAGATTGCAGAGCTGTTCGGAGAGCAGGGCTATGCTCTCCGGCATTTTCTGACGTGCATTAAAGGCAGTAGCAAAGGACGGGGGTTAATGGAGAGCTGCGTTAGGTGGAGGCGCTCTCTTCCTGCTGTGAGCGTTTATTTCTCACACCGAGAAGCAAAGGAGCGAGTTAATAATGAGAGAAGACTCGACTTCAGCCTCATAGGAAGGCTGATCTTTTTCCAAGTTAGAATTCATGTGAAGGATTTTCATGAACAACCGGGTGTGTGTGTGCGTGTGTGTGAGCTCCAACCATTACACCGCTTCTCAATCTCTCCTTCACTGTCAAGTAATCCCGTGTCTTTTGCCAATTTTTTTGCTGTTTGTGGATTGGTTTAGCTGAGATAATCTGGGATTAACGCCGGCAGTCTGTGGTGACGTTCTCCTCAATCAAGGCAGACGTGTTCATCATTGACGGGTACTCATGCTGCGAGCCGATGCATATTTCATGACGTAGTGTTTCTTAAATACCTTACATAGTGCACTAATGACAATCCCTGAGGACATTAGAAGACGAGACTCTTGAGCCATTTCTCCATTGTCAAGACTGGAAATGTCACTGGCCGAGTTGGCTGTGTGTCCATTGGCAGTGTGTTATAGACTATGTGCCACGTCGTCTGGAACACATTGTCCACATGTGTGGTCCCTCTACCAGTGGGACTACAGCCCCACACATTGGGTCTGTGGGCAATTCTGTGATGACGTAATTTTGCCTCTTTATGCCTAAGTGCAAAAATCTGCTGGTATGTTTGCGAGGGGCAATGGTGGCAATGGTGGTAGGAGCTTGTCTTTTCGGCTCAAGCCTCCACTCTGACTGTCTCCATTGTTGTGTCCTTGGGCAAGACAAGTGGTGCCAGTGCATGTTAGCCTTGGTTTCATCAATCTAGGGCAGTTGTGACTACTGTCCAGTAGCTTGCCATCATTGGCGTGTGAATGGGTGAAAGACTGAATGTGGTGCGAAGGGCTTTGGAATCGTCTGGACTTGATAAAGTGATATAGAAGTGCTGGCTTTTTACCATTTGTTCATTGTGGTTCCCATACAGCTGACTATGTATGCTCTCTTCTACCACAATCTACCAATCAATGATTGCAATCTGCTTCCAATCAAATCATTTGCATGCAGCAGCTGGCTTTGTCAAGCAAGCAGCACCCTTGAGGTGGTTCCCCAGAAATGGGAAAGAACTATGCAGAATTTCTGAATAAAAATACCTGACTAGGGGAAGAAAGCTATGCCTGTTTAGAAGGAGCTGTACACATGTCATTCAATCTTCAGACAAACAGGAAAAGCACCAGTTCGTCTCAAAAAAGACTCAAAAATCCATCTGTCCATTGTCTATACCGGCTTATCCCTGTGTTAGGAGGTGACTTTGCTATGGACTGGCGACCTGACCAGGGGGATCCCCCTTCACCCCCCGTTGACCACTGGAGACCCCACTAGGGATAAACATGTCAAATATTGGATGAGTGGATGAACCATCTGGATGGATGGTTGCTAGGAGATGGTTGTGGATGAACAAAGCATCGTATTTGCAACGATATGCTCCGAGAATCCTGAAAAAAGCATTTCGGAGGCAGATTGCCTCTTTAATATGATAATTGGGAATGTTTTGCTGACTCCAATTATCAGAGCAATATCCCCTGTGCCATGCTAACCAAACAGAAGGCCCCAAAGTGTGGAGTTCTCATTAGCGAGCCAGGTCTGTTCATTTGAATGCCACGACCCTCCATGTGGGCAGTTACCTCATGAGGTTTATGTCAGGTTTCTCTCACTCATTGGGACGGATGGATTGTGTTTGTGTTGTGACTCAATGAGCTCATGCATTTATCATGTAGGATGACCTCTTGTGTGCAAGTCCAAACCAGAGCACAGAAGTATAAATTAAGGAAGTACATTGCTGTAGTTTCTTCAGTTTGATCTCATTACTGAGCATTGGCGAAATCCTTATTATTGTTATTCATAAAATATTGTTCCTCCTGCAAAGCGGTGTGTCCCATCGCAAAGTTATAAAGAATTGAAAACAAGAGGAAAGAAAATTATAAATACTGTTGGATACTATCAAATTAAGTTTCAGGACATTTTTTATAGTAATGTTGTTCAGCCATCTTTTTTTTCTTTTTATAATCATTCTTTTTGAAAATCACAGCAATTAGACTCAGAAAGTTGCGCCGTTCCTATTGGTCGACATGAATCCCTTGTTACTGGAAACTCAGTGAGTCACTCTGAACCCGCAGCCGACTAATGACATAAAATGAAACATTTCAGCCAGCAGAGCTTTCAGTCTGAAGTCATGGTGACACCAAAGGGCTTCGACTTAGTAAAAAACAACCCGGTGACACCGGGTCGGTCCACTTGTGCCTCGTCCTCCATACTGCTCCTTTTCAAAGATAAAAAATAATAATAAAGAAAAAAAACAGAAGAGAAATAAACATTTTAAAAGAAACTCTCTTCAGCTAGGTTCTAGATTAGATTCAATTTGTGAGTAGCTTGTACTTTGAAATAATAATAATAATACAAAAAAAAATCCTTTTTATTGCTCAGTCTGAAAAGCATGCAGGAAAATACAAAGGCTTTCTGGGCTTTCTTTGCAGATTTTATGAATCATTTAATTAGTATTCTTTAGAAATGATGATTATGATGTGCACTGCTACGCCTTTCAGACGCAATCGTAACATTTTCTAATTATTTTGCGTTTTGTCAGAAAACACGCAAAATGTCGTCGTTCTTTTTTAGATTTTTTAAAAATGAAAAATACTCCATAACTGTGAAGTGCGAAGAAAACCGTAGAAGGTTTTTAATTACATTTTTATTTTTTTACCCACTGAAACTTACAACAGCACATTGTGGATTTACTTTTTACATTTGACGGTTCGATTCGAGTGCAACAAACAAACCAGGATTCAGTTGTTATGAAAGTTTTCCACAGAAATCACAGCGACTGCGTTTCAGTTCCACTCCACAATACAATGAAAGCGATTTAATCCAAAACATATATCTGACAAGAGCATTTATCAGATGCTCTTTGGTTTGGATTCGATCGTAATCTTCAATTCTCCAGGATTTTTTCAATGTCAGCTTTTGTGTGGCATAACATGGCATGAGTAAATTGAACTAAAATAACAAAGAATAGGAAGAAATCAAGATAAAAGTAAAGAAAACCCAGGGAAACCCCCGAAGCAACCCAGATCATAATGTTTGGGCTGGATTGCATAAGTAAAATGTCTAATTTATGATATCCTGGTTATCATAACGCAGTCCCCTGGTCACGGTCACAGCTGAGTTTAACTTCCTGACCTGGACGCATTAAAGAAATCGAATCGACCAGGTAGTAGGGCAGCAAACCTGGTGGGATCTGTCAACATTCAGCTTGACCCTTTGGAAAAAAAAAGAAGAAAAAAAAACATGGCCATGCGTTTAAAACAGAGCTGATGTTCGCCAGAGGAAGCAGATGTTGAAACAACTGGTGTGTGTTTCATCACGAGGCAACGTGTCGGATTCCAGCTGCCTGAGCAGGGAAAGGTTCACCTTCTTCCCCCTGAAGCATAAGAATAGAACGAGAAAATTGAACGAGACATTGTTGTGGTTCGACTCGCACCTTCCTAACAGAACAACACAGTGACTCACACACACACACACACCCACACACCCATCCACACACACCCACACACACACATCCCCTGCTGATTAGAGCTCTCCTCCGCTCTGCTTCATAAATATGCAATTGCTGTGCAACTCCTCAGCTTTTTTTATTCATATATATATACATCTGGCGTCTTATTGGGTCGAGATCGTAGCAGACATCTTTTCACTGTCTTTCACTTGCTGATATGAAGCGGCATAATTAAAGATGACAATTTTCTTGTAGAAATCGATTCCCAGAAGATGGATGATTGAATCCGACCTAAACGCGTTTTTCTTTTTAATTTTTTCAATTTGTTTTCCTCTCTGGTCATAAAATATTGCCTCTTCATTGGTCAAAGCTTAGACATGTTCCCCGCATGAGGAAGTGTTTGTTTTGCTCTGACCCTGCAAGTCTTTGTGAGGATTTGCAGTTTTGGGACTTGCTTAATATTAATAAAGTACAGCTTTATAGTTAGTTTAAAGGTTTTTATGCAGAAGTGAAGAATATATTGAGAGCTTTTGTGAGATGATCCAGAATCAACATCTTAAGATGGAGCGTCGGGGAGACGTTTGAGGAGGAAGATTTTGTCACTTAAACAGGATTTAAAAACATGTCAGTTGTATTTTTGCTCCATAATGTACTGTCTGTTCTTGAAGGTACCGCTTCCATTTCACCATCTGTGTTTAATTATGCAAACTGAAACTACGAAAATAAATTTGCTTCATGGAAACATGGTCATTTTGAAAAATAAAAATAAAAAAATAAAAATGACGTCTTTCACTAATTTTTTGAGTTGGGAGGAGGTGGATTTTCAGTCATATTGACATTTGTGTGTTTTGCAAAATCACACAAGCCATGTGATCAACAACCGGATGTTACTGTTGGTGGGAACGACGAAGAAGACGACAGGAAGTGGCAGGAGGATGACGATGGCGCGGCGCCGTTTCCCGATGACTTCTCGGGCGAACAGACTTCCTCTTAAGTATGTTTCTTATTTAATGTAAACTCTGCACTTGCAAAATTGTGTGTTTTTTTTTACCTTTTCACATCTTGACAAAGTTTTTTGCGCACATTTATAATGGAAACGCAGCTGATACTTTATCAACAAAATCAAATTTTGATATTTGTGGACTTTTCCAACAAATCTCAAAATTTGTTGGAAAAGCCAACAAATTTTCCAACAACTCTACTCCATGACACACAATAGAGTTGAGTGTGTTGTTGGAGATTGTCTACTATGTCCGGACAAAGTCAGTCAAGATTTCTCCTGTTTTTGGTGAGAAACTCAGATAAAGCAATTTTGAATGGCATGTATGACAAGCTGGTTAAATTATACTTAAATGAACAAACTGCTATTTCAAATTGATTTTATATATCAAGCCAAAACAGCTAACAGACTCAGCCTTATTTTTTATGAGAAATATGAAACGCTGACAGAAAAATCTGCTCATAAATATACCAGTAATTGAACCATCATGTTTGTTTACACCCCACAGCTGACAAATTCATCAGATGAAAACATCTGCTGTGTTAAGTTTGGTTACCTGTTTGTTGAAACTGGAGAGAAAATGACAAAAAAATAATAATAATCACAGAATAATTCAAACTTCATACCTCTCCCTGTGGGAGAACCAGCTGCCAGACACGAGGTGCAAACTTCACAATTTGCACAATCCGCAGGTTGATATGGTCAACGCTGCATTTCAGGCAAAGTGGAGGCCAATCCATTATCGACAGAGGGTAAGGTGAGACAGATGCTCCAGCGGTCAGAGACGCTCCGCGCACACAGCAGCCGGTGCCTGATCTCTGCTCTTTGTGGAGAAATGTCGTGACTTCATTCCTGAATGTAGAAGATTGAGTCTGCTCTGAGCTTCCAGTTAATACCAGACATCAAATTTCATCAGCACGCATTCTGTGAGCTGCACAACCTCCGCGCATTATGTCCGTCCATGGTTGAGATTTCATACTCGAGCCTACCACTTTCTTCCAAATTCATTCATTTCCCACAACGTGGATACTAGGAAGTTTGATGAGGTCGGTGGGTGCCGAGCCCCGGTCTAAACCACTGGGCCATCCACCACACGCTTGTGGTGTCTGACATTCAGAGGAAGCTCATGGTAGAGCCACTGCTTCTCTACATTGAAAGGAGTTCGGTGAGGCACACAGGATGCTCTAAGTGTGCCTCCTGTTGGAGGTTTGCTGAACATGCCCCAGTGGGAGGAGACCCCTGGGAAACCCAAATCTCAATGGAGGGACTATATATCATCCATCGAGCCTGATAACACCTCAAACCTTCCCAGAACAATGTGAAGGATGTCGCTGGGGAGCAGAATGTCTGGAGCTCACTCCTGGACCTGTTGCCTCACATCCCAATCTCAGAGAAGCAGAAAACGACGGACGGCATTGTGTCACGACACCAGGCTGGATTTCACCAAGCTCTCGAGAGAGACCCATTCTTTCACAGTTGTTTGTAGAAACAGTCGACATGCCAAGGTGCTGGACTTCATACTGTCCCCACTGAAGGCATTGGAACATCCCGATCCTCTTGTGGGAGGGGGAAACGGATCCTCCTGGAAATACTGACGATGCTCTATAAAAGCGTTACTGGAAGTGAAGTTCATCCCCATATCGAGCATAGTTCAGTGACGTTTCAGAGAACTGCTCTCAGTTTTAGCCTCTCACGGACGAATCAGCGTTGTTCTCCATAAAACTTACCCCACTCCTGAACTCCTTCCCACACAACACAGTCCACCGTGTGAAGGCATTCCAGACGTGCGCCTGACAGTGACCTGACACCTGCAGAAGCAACAGTGCCGCTTCACCCTGATTAGATATGCAGCTGATGGACAAAATAACCACATTCTCACAGCATTTCAAGAAAGAAAGATGAGAAAAAAAGACGCTGATGAGTGTCAGAAAGACTGCAGGAGAGGAAGAGAGAGAGAGATCCACACTTTCCTTCCAATTCAAAGTTTTCTCCCTCCCTCTCTTCCTCTCTCTCTGCCTCAGCGCCTTCAACTTCGCTCCCTGCGATGATGCAGAGTCACACTCCTCTTCCCCCGTGCGCCCGGCGGCCATCTCTCAACACTCTGCACTCCTCAGATCACCAGCTCTGTGTTCCTCGCCCCCTTTTTCTTCTTTGGTTTTTTTTGTTTTTGTTTTTTTCTTCTTCGCCGCAGCATGAGCGCCGAGTGCAGCAGTTACCACAACACAGACGGCGTGTTTGTGGAGGCTTTCTCCTGCCCCAAGCCCGGCAGCGCCGCCTTCGCGGTTTACTGCTGCGGCTTTAATGACGTGAAGTACTGCTGCGATGATCCCAACAGCTTCTTCCCCTACGAGTATGGATACATGTGGTGGCTGAGGTGAGCAGGCTTTCTCTGAATGACTCTAAAAGACCCAATTGAGTTTTGTCGGTGTGTTTGTGAAGTTTTTATGGTTTTTTTTGCTCCTATAAAGGCCAAAGTTTGCGTTTTTTTTTTTTTTTTTTTTAGATTTTCCAGTATGATTATGAACCCTTCAAAAAGCTTTTCTTTAACCCCTTCCTCCCCACATTTCTTCTTACCTGCAGGTTAAACTGATTCCTGTGTGACCCTCTATGTGTGTTTTTTTGTTTTGTTCCTCAAGTGCGTTTGGTTCCAACCACTTAAAGAATGAAAACATTCTGATTTGTCTCAAAGTTTACAGAATTGGTCTGAAGCAAGTGTTTGCACATGTTTAGATGTTAATTATTGTTCCCACCGCCCTGTTTTGACACCTGTTTAATGTTTCTGTTTTGTTTGTTTGGTTTTGTGTCCTAATCGACCTCCCTGTCTCCTCTCAGTATCGGTGCTCTTGTAGGTCTATCAATCGCAGCCGTGGTGCTCCTCGCCTTCCTCATCACCGTCTGCGTCCTCTGCTACCTTTTCATAGCCACCAAACCCAATCGCCTTGACAACGGCCTGCCCCTCAGAGCACCAGGTCAGGATGGGTGTGTGTCAGACTCTTCATTTTGTGCTGTTTTTTAATATATTTTTTTATTTCACGGTTCCTGAAAGCCTTAAATTTGGATGGATATCTACTCTTTGAATGCGTGTGTGCGCGTGTGTGTGTGTGTGTGTGTGTGTGTGCGTGTGTGTGTGTGTGTGTGAGTGCCAGGTGAGGGTAGAGGTTGTTTTGTAATGGAACTGAACCAGCTGCACTCCCGGTGAGCTATGACACATCACCACTAGTGATATTTCAATGCGCTGCATGCATATATCCCTCCACTATTAGATTCTGCTCAACGTTGAAAAAAATGTGTTTCTCCCTCCTCTCACTCTGCAACATACTTAAAATGTTGTTTTCTAGCCCTGACCTCGCCCTGGCTTGTTCATAACCCCGTTGACCTCCCAAATTAACGTAAGAAATGTCATGTTGCCCCTGATCTCTAAGCAACAAAATGATGAGTAAGGGATGTTAGCTTCATGACAGGTAGCAGCATTTTCACTTTTCAGAATCAATGCCACACTCTCTGTAAACAGCTGGGTTGAAAACAAGCCCATCTAAGGTGGATGAGATGTGGGCAAATCAAGCCCTGAGTTTTATATTTTTGCGTTTAGTTGATTCTGAGATGTTATAAGCGGCAGTGTGAATCCCCAGGATTGGTGCAGATTAGGAACCACAACCATCTACAAAAAGTTACAATTCCTGAACACTTGAGAATCCCTCTGTGAGCGCTTATAAATGCTTGATTTAGTTGACCTTTTTCAGCTTTACGCCATTTTATGATGTCATTCCGTCCTCCAAAACACACCTGTAGCGTTCCCGCGATTCTTTCCTTTAATCTCCCATGGCAACCACCTGGGTGCACCCAGCAGCGCCTTCAGGGACGAAGCTGCTCCTTGAAGCTGAGGTTTTTGAGTTTCCACCACAGCACTCTCCCACTCAGCTCCTTCAGACTAGCCAGCAGCAGTCAGCAAACCCTTGGTGGAACTGCAGATCTGCTGAGCTCATTATGTGAGCTACTTCTCAGTGCAACGCTGGTAAAAATGTAGTTAAAGGGTTAATAGAGGAGCCATGTTGTAAGGACTCACTGAAGGCAGAGTTTCAGAAAGAGCAGGAGTTTTATTAAAGACACATAGACCCAATTTCAAGGTGCTAAATGAGAGTAGATTTTCTTTCAAGTCAAATTTGATTTGTACATCCTTTTTGTGACACCTGAAGGTAACATAGTTACTTGATTGTGCTATAAAATGACAGAATGTGCCTGGAAAATACATAATACTGCTCCTTTAATATGCATCAACATGCAGAGTGGAAACCATCTGAGCTACAACACAAACCAGCATCTACAGTTTTCTTTATTTCTACTTTTGGTGGAAAATCCAATCAGTGTCAAAGGGAAATAAATGAGTAAATATGAAAACAACTTTTTTGTGTTAGCTCAAAAGGTAGGGTTCAAGAACGAAGTAGACGCCATTAATTAAATTTTCTGAATATATAGTAATTTTTCAAACTCAATTTTAAACCAAGGTTGCTCTGAGTGGTTATGAACACAATAAAAATATGGCTTTCATTCAAATTGCTGTAATATTTTTGCTTTTTACTTTACTGTGATTCATCAGTCAACTAGTCTGACCAGAAGTGTTTCAGGATTTGCCAGAGGCAAATAACTTTTTGCCCTCTTCTTGCTGCATAGAACTGCATATGAATAAACAGAAGTTTAAAATCACGCGACTCGCTGTTCGCGTTTGCCCGGGCCGGCTACCACGGGACTGTCCTAAATAAATATTTTAGTGGTTTTCACTGCAGATGAGACGTTAACTGTTCATATGCATGCATTAAATGTGTATTTCATCAGACACAAAGCTCATCACATTTAAGAAGTGACTGTCTGACCTGGGTTTCTCAGGATGCATTCCTTCCCGGCCAATCAGCAAACAGGAGGAGGAGTTGCGAGAACGACGGGGACAACTTCCTGCCGACGGTTGTAGTTTAGCAATGGAAGCGGAGGAAGTGAACGAAGCCGTTCCAAACATGGGACAGTCAGAGATGTTTAAGACATTTTATTGCTGGAGAAAGATGTAGTTTGGTTTGGCAGTTGGGGACGGCTGTTGACAGGACGTTTCCAGTAAGCCTGTCTTTTTACGAGAGAGCTGGCACATCGCATGCCAAACGTTAGCGGTCGGCTCAAATCAGAACCTGTCACTTCACACTTCAAAAGTGTCTGTGCCTCCAAGCAATCTTTTCTTAATTGATAGCGTTGTTTGCATGCAGCAGGGCGTGAGAATCAAAGGCTTGATATGACAGTGTCCAGACCCAATGCCCAAAATATGTTCCCCATTTGCAGTCAAGCTCCTCAGCATCAGTACCTCCTGTTGTTGCTGGCAGTCTGGTTTGTTTGTTGTTGTTTTCCGACGGGTTCTTGTTCTTGGATTTTTTTTTTCCTCGAATTTGTTTGCTTTTTTGGTTTCAGATTGTCCTCATTTTTGGTAGAACGGTTTATTTTCAGCTTCCTGCTGCCTCTCGGGATTTCTCTCTTTATCACTTCATGACGCAAAGGCCTCCAAGCCCAGCGCTTCTCAATTCCTGACCTCGGGACCCCCCTGCTCCAGAACAGCTGATTCAAATGATTGCATGACCTTTTCTGCAGCCATCAAATCCTGCAGAAGCCTGATAATCAGCCACAGATTCAATTCAGGTGTGAGGCAGAAGGGGAAACACCTGAAACATGCTGCAGGGCGTGAGAATCAAAGGCTAATTTGTATCCCGTCATTTTTAAGATTAACCAGAGTATAATAAATCATTATTAAAAAAAAGTAACTTAAGGACAAACCATAAGTAATTTGAAAATAGTAGCAGATTCATAACAAGACCCAACCTTATGTGTTTCACAACAGAACCAAGCTAGCACTAGCTTTCATTCGCCACATCCTTGGCTTTAAGCTAACGTTACCTTAAGTGAACAAGCTGGTTTGTAGCGTGAACTACAGTCATTAACGCAACCCATTAGCATTAACTGGACACCTTGACAGGTCATGTGACATCAGTATCATCAATATCATCAATATCTAAAGAGATAAAGTGATGAAAGTGAAAACCCTCAAGGTAGCGGAAGGCTAGCCTAGCCGCTAACCAGACAGAACCCTGTTTTGTCAAATTTAGTGATTTAAAACAACCCAGGCAAGGTTATTTATGAACACTACATATCCATAGGGTAGAAATAACTGATACTGAACGCTTACAATTTCAGAAGATATTGATACAGACTATTGACAAGCGTCTGTATCACTACACAAGTGAAAAGGGAGTAAAAGCTGGGAGCTCTGTCAGCCTTAGTAACATAACATCATCGGATAAGAAGGCAACAGGTGTAGCAGAGTGGGTTTATGCATGTAGTGAGCTGTGTTTCTGAAGTTTGGCTAAAACATTTTCATTTTGGTCTGTTTCTCTGGTCGCAGAGCCTCCTGACATGTACCAGCAAAGCTGCACCTTTAATCAGAGCAAGTTTAACTTGCGCCTTCATCAGATACATTATGGTCTAAAAGGGAAACTGAATTACTCCTGCAATCAGTGGAGGCTTTCCCCCCCAGCTTTTCATGTCAAACTAGAAATCAAGATTACTGCAGCTGAAGAGTGATTCTAAAATCAACAGAGAAAGCATGTGGCGTTTGCACTTTATCGACTGAAAGCCCGCGTGGGGAGGAAAATCCTCACTCCACGCTGGTTATTGGGTTACTACCGACCACAAAAGAATCTCTGTTTTCTAAATACTATTACCAGAATAGTCTCTTAGTGAGATCAGATCAGGCATTATTAGGTTTAAGAAATACCCAGTAATTTATGATCAATAATGTTTCATTATAGTGCGTGAACTTCATGCCTTCCCACCGCTAACCTCGTTCTCCACTTACAGCGGGAAACCGCTTCTCTTGAAGGATCAGGTACACTGTGGAAGTGACTTGATTGATCTAAATCGTAGAAAGTACCAGATCAATATCAAGTCTTTACACTCCACAGCTGCAGACGTTTGCAAGGCAGCTAAATATGATTGATCAATTTCCCAAACACTCTGAATCATCCAGTTTTTTGCATAGTGAATTAAATGCTAACAGATCAACGGATCAGGAAATAAAACAGGAATCTAATGTTCGTCTGGTAACTCTTAGCAGTTTTAGAAACCCAAGCGACAGACATGCAGGGCTAGAGCTGCAGCAGATGTTGTCGATTTGATAAATAAATGTTTTTTTTGAATCATTAGACACTTGAGACTTGATTCTGACTTTGGGTCAAAAAACTTTAGACTTAGATTTGGCCCCTCAGAGGTTTGAGACATAACGTGAACTCGGCCCTGCGAGACTCGAGACTTGACTCATCATTGCTCAGTTGCTAATGATGAGGCTTCATTTAGCTTCTTCTCTACCCAAACAAGGTCATGAACTTTGACCCAGGTAATATTTTTGGCTCAGATTTCTTCACTTTCCCGGTCCATTACCCAGCGTTTGGTGTAAAGGACAACCCTTTTTATGTGGTTTGATGATTTTTGCCTTGTTTTGTCTCTGTGTTTTTCAGCCGGAGACCCCAGCGAGGGACCCAACCAAGGGAGGGCGGCCGGTGGTTCCGGTCCGCAGGGGTTCCGAAAACACATGATGAACAGGAAAGTGGACTCTGACAACGAGCCGTCGGACCCGGAGCGGCTTTTCCAGCGCTGTTTCACCGCCACGGTCACGAGCGTGAAAGTCGAAAGCCCCACATAGGCCTCCGAAAAACTTGCCTTTGAGAACAAAAAAAGAAGAAAAAAAAAAAAAAGAAAAAAAAAAAGAAGCCGTCGGTACATCATGGCTCGGGAAGGCAGGCGGACCTGGACACAGTCAGAGCTGCCAGCGAGCCGCTCTGAGCGGGAGGACCACGACGTTAGTCGACATCATGTGCCACACGTTGTAGTCATGGTGGCAGAGTCGAACAAATTGTTGGGTTTTTTTCAATTATTGGAGTAAAAAGGTAAGGAAAGAAGCACTCCTGAAAGTGCTTGTCTCGGTGACTGAAACTTTGCTCAGCTTTAAGTGGAAATGGTTGATCTTTCCTCCTCAGAAGTGATTGCAGACTTTATGCATGGCTCTGTGAGAGCCGGATGATAAGACGGCGGCGGAGGGACTGTGGAGACACACAGAAATGAAAACAGGATGTGAGTTTTCAGCGTTAAGTCAGACCCTCGTGACACTTGGCGCTGCCGATTTGAGGCAGCGTCATCTCAGGAATGCAAGCGCTGGAGTGAGCTGCTGGTTTCTTCACATGCTCACTGTGTCGTGTCTTTGCATTTGAGTGGCAGACGCCCATTTTCTACCCATCAACGCGACCATGACGAGAGGACGAGCGAGATCGTCGGGGCTCGTCTGAGTCCGTCAGTCTGGGCCGTCAGCTTCTTTTATCAGTGATCAAAAATGTTTTTCTAGGGCAGAAGACAAAAGCCTCCTTGAACATGTCTAATGACATTAATAGGTTTTGTGTGATGTTAACAGTTTACGACAGCTTGTATTTCAGTTCTAATCACGAGGCGATGATGTAAGAGGTCAGCCGACAGCACTGTGAACGAGCAAATGATTGTGAGACTTGAATAAAGCGAACAACAACCTCAGAGCTCCGGCTGAACTGGTGCTGTGCTTTGAGAGTCTTTCACCTGAATGTGGGGAAAAGATATCTGATCTAATATCTGACCGTAGATATTAGAAAGCAGGTAAAGTAAGTACTGAACACGTTAGTGTTGTGCAATTAAAAAAACGATAAGTGAGAAAACGAGCCCGACTGTCGAGACATGGGAGGCCTCTACAAGCATTCGGCTTCCCGAAGAGGGTGAATCTTCATCAGTGCAGACTGAACGTGTGCATATTGTGTCATGGTTTTAACTTAACCTGGTTAAGTTGCTCTTTTTGCAAAGCATTGCTGCAAATTTTCTAGCAGTTTCCTTTGCATTGGTGTAAAGGATGTTGACAATTTGTTCCCAATCAGCCCACCTGGTAAAATAAAGGTTAAATTAAAAACCATAATAACATTCATAACCCTTTTGACCACTTCCTCCACATTCACACGTTGCAACTGCAAATTGTTTTCTCGGGAACTGGATGCGAGCGACTGACACAAAGCGGTGCATCATTGTTACGTAAGATGATAAATGACATGAAGTTTTCCAAAATTTGAATATGTGAACGTTTGGAAAATGTGGCATGCAATGCATCCCTCTTTACGTTTCTCGTTCGGTTTCTATCGGCCACCGGCAGATGATGAACTGAAGCCGACACGGCGAGAGAATCTGGAGGAGAGCCCAAAAAACCCAAACATTTGTGTTTGCTCCTTTCACTTGTTGTTCGCTCAGAAAAGAAAAATCCTGCAGAGAGCAGATAAGGTCTAATTTTAGGGTTTGGAAATAACTTGGCTGTAGCTACGATTCTTCATGAAACAGCAGCCTGACTGCACCCTCAACCCAAAACCAGAGTACTCACATGTGCAGCCTCTGAGAAAACCTAATGTCTTTGCTTTGTCCTATTGAAGCAGCTGTCTATTTTTCTCCCTGCGATGAAGCCACAAGCCTGACCTCTGACCTCAGATTGTTGACGTCTGATGAATTGCTTGCGTTTAGTTTGTGAGAAAACAGGAGCGAAACTTACTACCATGTCGACGCTGATGTGTGTCAGAGCTTTACAGCAATGAAGCAGCCAAAATATGCTAATATGAATCTTCAGAGGCCATTTTTAGGTCATCCTCCCAATCTCTGGGAGATGAAGGTGAAGATTTAAACATAAAAATCCTGATTAACTTGTTGATGTCTTACTTTTTTTATACTTCAAAAAGTATGAATTTAAAAAATGTCAATGTTTTGCATTGTGGTTATGTATGTACATCGATCGGGTAATGGAAGACAGTAGAAATCATTTTCAAAAAGTGTATTTAATTATTGTTGAACCAATCAATAATCAACCAATTATTGTTAAACATAAAAATATATCCATAATTTAAATATGTTTTAGTTAGTTATATAAATACAGGATATAGCTCCAGTTTGCTATGGTTACCCTCCTCCCCCCCATTAATTACCGTTTTTATTTATTTTAGTAATCGAAAAGGTTTTCGCAATTTCAATATTTGTTATTTCGTTAGCTGTCGTTGAGCAGGTCACAGAAAAAGCTGCGGGACGACGATCTCAAGAGACTTGCGGCTGTTATTTCAGAATAAAGGTAGCTCTACTAAGTGTTGACTGGGGGATGCTGAAAACAAATGTACTTCACATATTTTGGATTTGTTTTCCCCCTACTTTCAATTTTCTTGTTCAAAGCCATGCGTCAGTTTCCTTCCTTTTAACAACTACACACCACATTGCGTTGCTCGAACTGCTGCGATTTTGTTTCCGCCTCGTTGTTCTTTTTCTTTTTGTTGCTGTGTGTAAAAGTTAATCAGACCTAGGTAAAAGAAGAGTCTGTCAAGGTGCAAACATCTCCAAGGTCTGAAATAAAGCACTTTCTCCTTCCAGAGGAACTCATCGGAAATTAAATGTTCACCAAGAACAGGCGCAGGTAAAAACCATTAGCAAAATTGCCAAAGTGCCAATGATTTTAAACTCTTGACCTGATCTCTATTAATAGACTAGAGCAGTCAGAAAGGTCTTTTTGGCCTTTAGCAGATGGTTTGAGATCAGGTTTGCTTCCAGCGGGGTCGGTGTGGACGGACCAGAGCCGAAACGTCTGTAGTGAACTCATTATCTCAGCAGAGATACAGACGTAGGAGGACGACTTGTACTCCAGAGTCACGCCGTGTAAATAACGACTGACAAAAATAAACTTGGCTGCAGATAAATATACAATATTCCAAAACGTAAAGAAAAACCACTCCATAAACCAGTGCAAAGAAAGAAAATATTGGTATGACTATAAGCATGTTGCATAAATTTAGTTTTATCTACTTTTAGTTACTTTAGCTTCATGATGCATTGTAGAGTAAACAATGTGTGTTTTGATTGGGATCATTCAGACAAAAAAAAGCACTTCATGACAAATAATGGTTTTCTTCAAAAGGCAGCAAAGAACTTCACATTCTTCTCTGAACACACCACAGATGTTTGTATTCACAAAATAAATCTATATAGTTTCCTTTCACTGCAAAACTTTGGCTTTGCACCGGAAAGTGTTTCTTCACGCGAATGATTTGTACTTTTTGCGTGTTTTTACTTGTAGATTAGTGCTGGAGTGAAAACTGCGGTTCTCTGTTCCTGAGTTTTTTCGGCACACTCTTCGTTCCGTTACCGAAACGGACGTTTCCGTATGAGGTGGAGAGTCTCAGCTGGTTTGATTTGTTTTCATCTGGTGTCCACATCTATATGTATTTGATCGTGTTTTTGGATGTGCTCCACGACCGCATACAGAGACTTATTAAAGTCTCTCATGAAATTTAAATCAAAGTCAAAGCCTGGCACTGCTATTTCAGGGGTCTGCTTTCATGTTGTGGATAAAAACAAATATATATATATAAAAAAATAATACATAAATATGTTTCACTGTCGTCGCGTAAAAGTAGATTTTGTTGCATATCTGCTGGAAAAAATAATGCATCTTTTTACAAAGGCGGTTCTGTGCAGTTATGTTGTTTTTAAACCAAAAAGATGGTGGAACTTGAACTTTTTGGTTCTCCGTCGACAGTCAAAGTTGCCGTGTTGCTGAAAACGGCAGAAGAACACAGGAGGCAGTGAGATTGAGCAACGATTTGGTTTCAGACTCTTCGCCTTTTCTTTACATAAACAGTGAAAACTGCATATGAATAAAGCAAATTGCAGCCTTCCCTTCACATATCGTGGCTTTGCTGTAAGTGCAGCAAGTTGAATATGTCTTCATTGTGTTTTTGCTTTATTGCTATTTGCCTCTATTTCTGGATTGCAGTAACCCCAAACGGAGTTGGAGCAGTAAATGTGTTTATTAATGTGGCATTTTAAACTCACAATTCTTTAAAGATATGACAGCATTGAGAAAAACAAAGTGTTTGTCTGTTTTGTTTTTCGGTCCCACTTTTCTTATTGAAAACAACATGACAGCAGGAAGCTTTTGAGGACAGGTCAACCCTGCATTCACAACCTGCTTCCTCCTCAAAGTTCAGCTGTTGAAGTGTGGGCAGGTGTGAATATTCACTGACGTTTTTGAGATCCAAAAAGCTTTGGGGCTCGATTCCAGACATAATCCAGCTTAAAGGGATCGGTTAGGACGTTTTGAAGAGCTGTTCTTCTGAAGTTAATGTCTCCAATAGAGTTTTGTCATTGATCCAAACAAAGAAAATGGGGCCCAGGCGAAATGGTTCTCTCAAGGACTGCTCAAGTCCAGTCCTCGAGAGCTACCGTCCTGCAACTTTTAGTTGCAGCCTTACTCCAGTAGACCAGGCTCAGCTATGAACAGGCCTGGTAACGAGCCATTCATTTGATTCAGGTGTGTTGGAGCAGGGATGCATCTGATAGTTGCAGGATGGTAGCTCTCGAGGACTGGACTTGAGCACCCCTGGTCTACCACACACCCTTCAAGCTGCTGTCATACTTAGATGGAGGGCCGAGCATCAGGGATCAGCTTTCTGTGTGAAACACAAACTGAGAAGATTCTTAATCTGAGAAACAATATGCAGCAAACTTGCCTTCAAAACCGTTTCATTATTACATCAAACACTAGATGTAACTGATTATTGTATCAGTGTTTGACATCATAATTAAACATTAGCTCAGCTCAGTGTCAGAGGGCTGCACAGTGACGCAGTCGGTAGCGCTGCTGCCTTGCTGTAAGAAGGTCCCGGGTTCGATTCCCACATGTTCTCTCTGGCTTCCTCCCACTGTCCAAAAACATGACTGTCAGGTTCAGTGGTGTCTCTAAATTCTCCCAACGTGTGTGTGTGTGTGTGTGTGTGTGGTTGTTTGTCTCTATGTTGCCTTGCGTCAGACTGGTGACCTGTCCAGGGTGGAACCTTGGCTTTAAATAGGCACCAGCACCTAACCGCACTCGGGACAAGGGTGAACAGAAAATAGATGGATGGAAATGCTAAACAATCAATCACTGTTTGGAAAATACCAACCAGTTCTTTAGAAAGAAAGAAAAACTCATAAAGCGACATGAACGGGAGAGTCTTTTGTTCTCCTGCTCAGCCTTACTGACAGAATTCGGTTCAGTTTGGGAGCAAAATTGCAACATTTGTTGCATTTTCAGCTGCTGTGGTTCGCTTTCACACCGCGCTGTGACAAACAAATCAAACCGTCTAAACAACCAAGACGCATTACAGCATCAGACATCAGACACCTTCTACCTATACTTGTGCTTTGTGTGAAACAGAGACACCAAAGTCCATCAGACGCGCTGCTTTCATTGCTGATGTGGCCTAGTTTAAGCAACACCCAGCCCAATTCTCATTTATCTCTTCACTCACTTGCGTGACTGTTTTAGAAATGTCTCAGGCATTGAGGAGGACGCCTTAGCATAGCTTATTCATTATTCCACAAAGACGGGAAAATAATTTCGCTCTGACATCTCGTTGAAATCTCTTCACTCTTCAGCCATCGCTGGAGTGTAAATTGCCTTTACTAGGAGCACTAATGCAACCGCACACCATCACAGAATCCCACGCAAGTGTTAATAAATAGAGTTTATACATCAGCCATGTGAAGACTCCCACCTTGTTCCTTCAGATGTTAATGGACTTATTAATAAGTGATTTGATTTCATGCCATGTCGTCTGGGAGATTAACACAAATCCAGCAGCCTAATATGAATGATGAATCCCGCCGGTTGCTCGGGGTTGTCTGACATTCTGGAAGCATCTTCGACTTCTTTCTTAGAATATTGACGCCACACAATAATGTGTCGGACATCTGATTTTGTTTTTGCATCTTTTGTGCATAAAAGTCACTTTAAAATGTTCTTGCAGCAAAAA